GCCTGCACGAGGGGGAAGGACAGGGCCGACAGGGCGGAAAGGCCAGGCGCAGGGGGTCCCACGCGATAGGGCCCCGCACGATGAGGCCTGGACACGCGCGACAGCATCCCGCACGACAGGGTCCCGCATGACGGGGCCACGCACGATGGGCACCCCCTCCACCAATCTCAAGAAGTTGACAGCACCATCGAGCATCGGATCGGAAGTCGGATGGAATCGGAATGAGCGCCACATCGGGCTACACGGGAACGGAGTGGAACGAATCAGAGCGGCTGCGCCAGGATGCCCGACAAAGCCGTGCGAGCATCGGGCCGCGTCGGATCGCCGAACTCTCGGAATCGAATGGGATCGGGCTGACCGGAGCCGACCCCAGAGGCAAGGGAGGAAAGGAGGGAGGACTGCCAGCCGCAGGGGTCCATGGTCAAGGGGTCATCAAGCGAACGGAGCAGAAGGTTTTGTTGACAGTGGTAACAGCACCAGACTCGCGACTACCATAGCTGCAGCCGAGTAGTCGGAGGCACAACGACGTGTACTTCAGTGCTTCGGCGAGAAGGACGGACGGTGGCGGGAGGGAGAGGATACTGAGAAGCAGAATGGCCGTGAGCAGTTGTACCCAGATCCGCTGGCCGATTTCGACAGGGGCGCATCACGAGCCCACATGGTTTTGGCACTGCCTGCTACTCGAATACACCTCAACGCGGCACCAGTGCCTGAGCAACCCAGGAGGCACGGAGGGACCCAGACATCCGACGATACGACATCCATGACAGAGAGGCCTGGACACCCGACGTGCCGAATGAACCCGCGGGTCCCCAGCGATCCCACCCGTATGTTGAATCCTCGGGGGACCTTGTCTGTCCCGTCGCGGCCCCATCCGCGTCGAATCTGTGCCGAATCCATGTCGGACTCGTGGGATACATGTCGACTCCGTGTCGAATCTGCGCCGGTTCCACGCCAAATCCGCGTCTCGAGTCCGCCCACGTCGGGCACGAGCAGAAGCACAGATTTTGAGGGTGAGGGACAGGCGAGGTCCCCCGAAAATAGGCAACGTCACAAGCCCCCTGGCAGCATTCCGTCCCTGGCCCATCTCCGACGGCCCCCGGGCCCGGAAACGGCTCCCCGGGGGGCGAGATATCGGGGAGAAGCCTCCCAGGAACACCCCCCAAAAAGAGTCGGGCGCGAGAAAGCAAGGGGGGGGGGGGGGGGGGGGGGCGCCTTTGTCGGGCCCTGGGGGCCTCCCCCTCGTGTCCGAAAGGGCCCCCCTTGGGGGCCCTACAGGGCCCCTTCTCTGCGGCCCTCGCCGCCCCCCCCCAACGCATCGCCCCTCCACTACGCGTCCCCAATCGGAGATGGACAGAACCTCCTTTAGTAAAACGTGGTTTAGTGAAAACGACCTCGGGCCCAAGACTGGAAGATGCCGGCCGCGGCGCCCTCTCGAAAAGACCGAAAACTGGCAATTCACTGATCGACATGTCAGGGTGGGGGTCCTGTCCCACCCCGACCCGATACGAGTCCGCCAGAGGTCCCCGAGAGCGAGGGCGGACCCGGAAGGGGGCTCGAACATTTTTGGGGGGGTCTGCGAGTCGGAAGGCGGACGGTCGGGCCTGGGACGAGCATGAGCTTTTCTTTTTTTGTTCCCCCCGCACAGGCGACGATAACACCTCGGTATGTGAGCACTGCAGATCACAACAGCAAGACTGTGCTTCCACGTGCCATTGGCAAGCGAGGAAAACAACACTCAGGAATGAGCAGAAAGGATGAAGGGGACCAGGAGCCGGAGGAGACAGGGGAGGAAAGAGCAAAACCACGCCTCAAGTCGAGCATGAGCCCCTCCGCCGGCCACAACACACAGAACATCCAGGGGTGCCCCCCCAGGATGCACAAGGCCGTCCAGCAAGCACGGAGAACATGAGGGCACCCTCTCCGAACCGACCTCGATCTTACACTTCGGTACAAGTGTATGCCCTGCAAGCAGTCGACCCGTCAACGGACCCGAGCGGGCAGGTCTCGGGGGCGACGAAGGGGGCGAATAGCTTACTGGAGAGCAGTACGCGCACAGTCGGGCTAACTAATATACGGAGCGAAATATAAGATTCCAGGTCGAGCCGTGAAGTCCGAAGGAACAGCCATAGAATCCGAAGGAGCACCAAGCGGCCCGCCACCAAAAGAGCAACGGAACGCACGCAAACTTCAGGAACCACCGAGCCATTTTCGACCTCGAACTGGACCTTATCTCGACGAATTGGCTGTGTCCAGGAGCGGCCATGGTCCGTGCCTTCGGCGAGGCTCCGTTGGGACGATGAAAACGGAAACTGGAGAGAGGGCTTATTTCGCTACCGCTGAGAAGTCTTGGGTGTACACTGCTCCCCCTCCTCCACCACCTCCACCTGCTCCTCATCCTACTTCTTCCTTCTCCACCTCCTTGTTCTTCTCCTCCTCCTCCTCCTCCTCCTCCTCCCCCTCCTCCTCCTTCCGCTCCTCCTCCTCCTCCTCCTCATCC